GGACGTCGTTCTTAAAGAAGATTTTTAAAGTTTTTTCCCTATATATTCCTATGTAAAACTTTGATCAGCCATTTTGGCCCCACCCTACCCCAAGGGATATGCTTTAAACAAACTTGAATTACACTACCTGAAGATGATTCCACATGATTTTCATCTTTCCTGGCCAGTGGTTCTTGAGAAGAAGATTTTTTAAAGATTTTTCCTATATATTCCTAGGTAAAACTTTGATCTGCCATTTTGGCCCCACCCTCCCCCAGGGGTCATGATTTGAACAAACTTGAATCTACACTACCTGAGGATGATTCCATATGAGTTTCATCTTTCCCATCTTCGCTAGCCAAGAGTTTCTGATAGGCTTCTCTCCTCATAAACCCTTGGCCTACGGTGTTCATAAAAATTGGGATTTTTTCCAGAGTTCTGATTGGATTTCAGTACACACCTGTTGACCAATCATCAATAGTTTTTTGTAAATAATGATGTTTGCGTTCGGGATACTTCTTGCCCGCACCTCAGATCTCCAGATTTCCGCATTATTCCGCATTTTTTCCTCATTTTAATATGGAAAAAATGTGGAAAAAAATACGGAGAAAATTAACAATACGGAAAAGCAGAAAATATACGGAAATAATCCGGAAAATAAACGGAAATAATACGGAGAATTGGACTTAGTCTATTTTTCATCTGGAAAAATATTGAACTCTTAACTTAGAATATTTTTCATCCGGAAAATATACGGAGCTCTGGACTTAGAATTTTTTCATCAAGAACAAGATGTGTTTGTGAGACACAGTAGCACCTGGCGGCAACATTAAGTTCTAAAAAGCAATTTTTAGCAAATGGGTCTCGGTCAAGGTCACACAATCATTGTTCTTGGTGTTATTTGAAAGCACTTTATTAGTGTAGTATGCATACCAAATATTAAGTCTCTATCATCTATGGTTCAAAAGTTATGGCGAAAATTCGAAAAAGCTATATTTAGCACATAGGTCACAGTCAAGGTCACAAGGTCATTGATCTTGGTGTCAGTTGAAGGTGCCTAATTAGTGGAGTATGCATACCAAATATGAAGTCTCTATCTCTCACGGTTTTAAAGTTATGGCGAAAGTTCGAAAAAGCTATTTTTAGCATATAGGTCACAGTCAAGGTCACAGACCTTGGTGTCAGTTGAAAGTGCCTAATTAGTGGAGTATGCATACCAAATATGAAGTCTCTATCTCTCACCGTTCAGAAGTTATGGCAAAAGTTCCAAAAAGCTATTTTTAGCATAAAGGTCACAGTCATGGTCACAAGGTCATTGACCTTGGTGTCAGTTGAAAGTGCCTAATTAGTGGAGTATGCATACCAAATATGAAGTCTCTATCTCTCACGGTTCAGAAGTTATGGCGAAAGTTCGAAAAAGCTATTTTTAGCATAAAGGTCACAATCAAGGTCATAAGGTCATTGACCTTGGTGTCAGTTGAAAATGTTTTTGTAGTGGAGTATCCATACCAAATATGAAGTCTCTAAGTCTCATGGTTCAAAAGTTATGGCGAAGGTTAAAGTTGACAACAGACAAACAAACAGACAGACATACAGCTAAACAGACAAACAGGACAAAAACAATATGCGCCCCCAAAAAATTTGGGTGCATAAAAACTGTCTTGGAGTTAACAGCAGTTCTCTGTTTCTCCTGAATGTTATGTACAATTTGATCGGGATCGGAAGAATGTTTCAAAAAGTCGGGCTCAGTGATCAATTAATTTAAACAACAGACCGCCAAAATTTAACCTTGGCCTCCATGTTGCAACGTCTGCTCTGTCTAAAGGAAGAAGTTTGTTGACCAGACAGCCTGAGATCGTATTGCTGTATCAACCAAAAGATGCAGATACACGTATTTCATATGCGGTAGGTCAGTCATATTTTTTTTAACATGTGTGTCACTGTGATGATGAAAATAAATACTCTAGGCCTAGGACTGAGCTACCAGGCTATGTACGTTTCAGCCAATATGCCCATGATTCAAATCTTTCAATCAGCTCATAGAATTTTATTATGGTTAACCACAGTTAAAGGTGTTAATTTTGGTGAGCCATGGGCTGTAATCTCGAGCAATGATTTACCATACATTTTTTTTTGGTAGCGTCTGTGCATGAGGAGGAGATTTCTGAAAAAGAATAAGTGCTTATTCAACTTACTGCGATTTTAACGGGCTTAAAGCTTGGTCCATGGATGGTTATGTTTGAGGTATATATATTCTTTTATTTCTTTTTTTATTGCTTGTTTAATTAAAAACAGTCAACTATGAAGTTGTCATTATTATAAATAATATTTTAAACAAATTGATATTAAATTGAAGAACCCAAACTTGTGTTTATAAAAAGATTTTAAAAGGAATAAAAGCAATGAATTTAAATATTATTAATATTGCACCATTATAATTTAAGAACTTTTTTTTTAATTGATAGGATTTGACAATTCGACTGCAAGTGCTGCTGCAAGAAATTAAACATGCAGAGACCTTACAAATTACAAAGAAGTCTGAAGAAAATTTTTATTGGACAGATGGGTGTAAAGCACAGACCTGAGATATAAATTGAATTGTGAGAAATATGAATCAGGGATGCAGGTAGAAAATGGCAAATGTGATCCAGATTGATAAAAAATGTGTAAAGTTTTTTCTTGTTTTGTAAATATTCAATGCTATGTCAATTGTTATTTTTTCCCCAATACCTAATAGTGTTGAACATTTCACTCCCACTTTTGCTTAAATAGAATGAATAAATTTCCATTTATTTAATATGAATATTAAAAAATGCCACATTTTTTCTATGATGAACTTGTGGCTTAAATAAGAGATCCAGTTTTTTTTCCATACATGCTCCTATTTGTTTGTCAAAGATATAAGATCCAATACATTGCTCATGAACATAATGTGTAATTTTGTTCATTCATTTATATGTTTTTTTCTCATAATGATATAATAAATTGTATATAATTTTGCACATTGTTGATGGTTTTGTAACTCTTTAATCTCGGAAAAGAAAAACAAGTAAACAACGATCCGTAAGATAACATGCAATTTCTATGAATAGCTATGGTGTCATCCAATATCTTCTAAATATGTGATTATAATCTATATTGAAGCTTAAGATTTGTTCTATAAATAATAAATAAACATAATAAATTATTGCTTCTCAAATATTCTTGAAAAAAACTTTGATTTAATTTTTTTTTAACACGTGTTTTTATATCTGTAGATGACGCAATCTGTGGGTGGATTCGAGATCACGTGACGAAAACAATCCCGTCTTTTGACTGCACCGTATGCCAAGGGTTTATGAGAGAAGCGTATCAGGAACACTTGGCTAGCGAAGATGTTATAGCTTTTAATGTTACCAATTTGATATCTATGTCTTCTTAAATAAACTGTTAAAATTTCTTTGAATATTTTGAAAGAAACCCCTTATTATTCTCATATTTTTCTTGTTGTTGCTTATAAGCAAGCATACGTACTTTTTCTTTAGTTCTTGATTCTCCTTCTCTAACAAATCATATTTATTCTGTAGTTCGGTGACCCTGTAGTAATATTTGGATATAAATTATTGAAGATGAATTAAATGCATTGCTCTCCTATAAAGAGGCACGTATGCTATAAACATTTTATATGACAAGTTTTAGTTGACCATTTTCTTAAAATTGGGGTCCATTGGTGCAGGGACTATGTTTGTTTGCTTTTTTACATTTTATCCTCAAGTACATAAAATCAAAATCAAATGAAACTGATTCAAGCTCTTCAGAGAAGCTGGAAGTTCAAGAAATAATGCAACCCGTACCTAAGGTACATCGTACCTCAATTTTCAGATATAAATAACGCCTCGGAATGGAGTTGGAGGGGTAAAGTAACGCGTGTGTTCGTTTATGTGTATTAGCGATGCACAAAACGGATGTAAAGTAATTTAGCATAGAGATCGATGTCAAATGCTGATATATACCGGCATGCTCCTTGAGAGGGGATTCTTCGCTTTGGGATACATTTGGGATTTCTTAAAAGAGTTCAATTAATCGATACCACCAGTCGTAGCTATGATTCTATTCAGAATACATCAGAAAAAATACGTATGAATACCTTTTTATCCACAGAGAATGTCCTGCATGATCTGTGTCATTGGTTTTTGACATTCCCCGATACCGATTCTCTTTTTTTTCGAATTCTTTTTCAGTCTTCAGAATCTCCAATTTCTTCCGTAATTTTTCCAGTTCTTCCTTGGCATTCTCAAGTTCTCTTGAAGTCCTCTCTCTCTGTTCTTCAGATATTTTTAGATCTTCTAAACTAGAGAAGTAGTCAATGGTACAAAAATGCAGAAAATTAAAATATAAAAAGATTCAAAACCAATATGTATGGTGAATCTATAATTGAAATAAAACTATTCATTAAATTTATAAACTTTTCACCTACGTTTTGCAATATCCTCTCTTCAAATTCTCCATTTCCTGATCTTTTTTTACACGTGCAAACACAATGCTGTGTTCTCGTTCTTTCAGTTCCCTTTTCAGACTTTCTTTCTCTTTCACTAAAGTTTTACATCTGTTAAAATCATTATATTCATGTATATATATATATATATATATATATATATATATATATATATATATATATATATATATATATATATATATATATATATATGTTATCCCTCGCTCTAATTATCAATAACCAAATGTGAAAGAAAATGAAGAAAATTGCAACTACAGGTATATACATTTAACGATGCAAGTCTAAAGCACTGCGTTTTGTAAATCATCTTTTACAAGAAATATAATATTCAAGTGCAAGAAATATAATATACTAGTATGATTTTTGCAACCTTGTTTTTGTCTTCAAATATTTCTCACTGAGAAGTGCTTATTTTATTTTGTGTCCTTGTAGAAGGTCTGTGCAGTCATAAAATTAGTCATTACAGATAAATATCACAAATAAGAGTTGACTTAAATATTGTTGGCGTACTGAATGTACGATATATACTTAAGGAATCACTGACTAGTTTTTAAGAGTATGCCAGGACATCAACGATAGTAGGACAGGTGGGATAATTTGCCTAACAGGCAAATCCCACGTTATCTTCCATTTGCTCCCAATTTTTATATGACGCGACATATCAAGAAAAATCGGGCGGCAGAAGCGACTTATAAAAAAATCGGGGAGCGGATGGAAGATCTAATTTTAATTAGATTGGTTGAAAACGTGCCAGGATAATTTGTTCCTAACAGACTTCGTCCGTTGTGCAAATTAACCCACATTTCCAACTATCATTGATGCCCAGGCATACTTAACAAATTTGACAGTGATTCCTGAAGTTTGACTGGGAAACCTATTACACCTAATATTTGTTTAACATCGGGAAAGTTGTTTACAAAAAGATGTTTACAAATGGATGTTTTCTGAGTGGAAAAGAAGACGTTTTAAAAAGTTAATGAAGTATATTAAGTTGTAAATTGATTGTTTCTAGTTAGATGAGGTAGTTTTGCGGTAATAATAGAAAGGTATTGTATCAAGTTTGAAAAAAAAACTTTACCTTTCCAATAGATTAGTATTTTCATTGTCTTTCATCTGAAGCGCGATTCCAAATCTACAAAAAAGAGAAAATGCAACAAATATTTTTCACTTAGCTTTTTAAAATACATGTACTAGTATTTATTTTAAAAAAAAAACAGAAGAGTGATTACACAAAATTTCCTAGTTTTACTAGAACGATCTTGCAATAATTTGGCTGAGTTTTTGCTTGGTTTATTATTATTTGGGAATGGAAGCTTTCTTGGTGTGAACGCCTCTACCTCCTGTATATTTGAATCTTTAATTAAGTAGATTTGCTGTCTGTTTCGTAAAAAAGAACTTTTTCATGTTTTACTGCTTTAAGTAATTGCAATTCTAGTCCAAATAAAGCTATGAACGATATATGTATACACATTTGACAACATTCCGTTTATAATTGTATATCTAATGTAGCACCATCTCCTAGCTCCAAATATTAAAACGTTTTCTGAGATCAACCACTTGTCAACCATGATTTTTTTTTTTTAAAAAGCTAGCCTGCCGATTTGATTGGCAGCTAGCTACCCGCGCTTCTTGATATTCTGGGATATTCTGGCTGTTGTGACAATAAGTCAGGCTTTTTTATTTACCGCTAGATTTGTCGTTTGGATTAGATACTGCGTGGGAGTTTTTATTTTAAAAATCTAAAGGGTTTCTATACATGTGGTCTGGAAAATGAAAGTGTTACACAAAGACAGACAGACCTACCGGTATATTAATATCCACCCTTTTATTGTAAGTGAGGGACAATAAATGTTACAGTAAATTTAGGTTTATTCTTTAAAGTGATACACACGATTTCCTAAAGAAAATGGAACGTACCTGAAATTTTTCCCTTGTTCTTCATAAAGGTTTTTATCCATTTTCCTTATATATGGATATGCATCCCCCCCCCCTTTTTGGAAAAAAAATATTGATCCGCGCCTGGTGACAAACATGTACAATTTACATGTAAATGAACCAATTAGAAAGACTATCAAAGTTAAATTAAGAACAGCCTGAAATTGGCTCCTTTACCATATGGTATGAAAACAGACTTTTATTTTATTTGGAATAACAAAAGTTACTGACACCTTTGTAAGATTATTGTACCTTTTCTTTCGAGATTCATTGTCTCTCAGCTTCCGTTTTAGATCCCACACTTCATTTTCCTTTTGTCGTATTAGTTTTTCTACTCTATATAGAATTTATGATTATTATATTTTTTAATTCAAGATGACTGCATATATGGATATATCTAAAATGTTCGAAAAATATATAATTTACTAACATTGCATTATCTTCAAGGGATCTCTGGTAGCGTTTATGAACCCGATCTATTTCTTCTGTTGTAGTCCTCCACATATTCTTCTTTTGCCTGATAAACAATTTAGACTGAAATTAATCTGGTGGTCATTTAAGATTTTACATTGTATGTAGTACTGCTTTTTAGTCTAGTCGCTTGCATCGCAAGTGGTCAGAGCGTTTGTTCTATTTTGAGCGTCAAAAGGTCCACTGCGGGTGGAGACCGTCATAAATAACAAAGGCCCAGTGTCGCAGTAGGTGCTGGCACAATAAAGACCCTTGCTCAATGACCCTTATTGCAATGAAATTTTACATCCTCCAGTGGCAAATGAAGACGTCTCCATTTGATTTTGATAAATTCTCAAGAGTTCAGACGTCGTAAATTTAAACTGTTAACAAATCTGCATACATGTGTATCCGTGCTTATGATTTAATTTATTGTAATGTTCAAAATAAAAATAGCCATTTCCTAAGATCCTTTCTAGCCCTGTAAAGTGCCCCCCCCCCCCCCGTAATATTTGTTCTTTCCTATTTATTGTTTAGTCTATTTTCACACAATAAAAGGAGCAATTTTGTCAGCTTGGGTAGGAAAAGCAAAATATGTAATTTTCTTAAGCTTTTAGCTTTGAACTTACTAGAATATTTGAAAATTTTATCAAACAACATTATACATTTGTTGACAGGGGAATAGAGGGAAACTTTGAGCTTTTGCAATGAACCGGAGTGCAGCTGTATGGTCTAAGGCCGTAGGCCGTGGGCATTGATTTTGAGGTCAAAACTCGATAAGGTCAAGGTCCTTTAAATAAGAAAACTCAGTTTTAAAGTATATCATTGAGGGAGTCAGCGAGGGAAATAGGCTTGCTCCGGGGAAACTGGAATCTTGCTGACTCCCTTAATGATATAATTTAACTGTTTCATTATACCGATGTATTACATGAAAGTTAATTGAGCTTCATTATGAATATTCATGATTTTAATTTGGAACATCTCTGTACTTTCCATATGATTAAAAGGAACCACTGGGTTTATACATAGGTGTGTATCAGTTCATCAAACTGACGCACCTTTTTGCAGGGAATCAGTCTTTTTAGGGTGATTTTGCAATGCAAAATTTATACATGTATATCAATCTCTCGTCCCTCTTGTCCCCCGCCCCTTGTTTTAGTAGTATTTATAGTATTACATGTCGCTATTTTTAGCGCAGGGGCATCCGAGGAGAGTTATTGCGTATAAAACAGGTTCCGTCCGTCTTTCTGTCTGTATTAACGCTTATAACTGTTTCCATAAACTAAATATCTCGAGAACCCTTTGAGCTTTTGCAATGAAATTTAGCATAGCAACTCCCTATGGAAAAGATATATACCCTATTGATTTTGAGGTCAAAAGGTCAAAGGTCAAGGTCATAAATAAGCAAATTCTCTCTGTTAAAACATGTGTTTCCACACGATATCTCTAGAACCATTTGAGCTATTGCAATGAAATTTTACATAACAACTCCCTTTGGCCTAAAGAAGACTCCTATTGATTTTGAGGTCAAAAGGTCAAAATTTAAGGTCGTAAATTTATACATTCTGTCTGTGTGTAACACTATCATAAAAAAATCGATATTTCAAGAAGATTTAAAGAATATGCAATGTAATCTTATACCAAAACTGACATACATGTCTCTCGCCCCTCTCAAAGTGCCCCGCCCCGTTTGTTTTATTAGTATTTATAGTATTACATGTCGCTATTTTTAGCGCAGGGGCATGAGGAGAGTTATTGCGTATAAAACAGGTTATCGGCGGACTTTATGTTCTTATTACATCTATTATAACTGTTTAATAAAGGCTAAATAAATCAAACACCATGGATTGTGTAAAATTTTGAGAATACCGAACATGAAAACATGAATATATACATGTATGTGACTTCTATTCTGCATATACTTCTCACCGTGTAAAGTGACTCCGTGGTCTAGTGGTTATGTCTCTCGCTTCAAATGTGAGAGGCCCCGGGATCGAATCTCTGTCGAATCTTTCTTTTTTTTTTTTTTTAAATACTTTTTTTTACTAAATGATTGTATTCAGCATGTGAAATGAAAAATTTATGAGGTTATAAAATCATCGTTACAGTGTGATAAATATTCCATATAAAAAAATCTTCTATACACTTAATAAAGAATAAGCAATCAAATCTTTATATGCATATTGACATACATGTATTTTATTTCCTTCAGTATACATGTATACATTTAATAGTTCTACAAATTCAGTCAGGGGGAGCCGACTTTTTCCCTAAGCGGGGGACATGAATTCTCTGAATTAGCTTGTTAGTTTTCTTCTTGGTGTAAGGGAGATGATTCAAATAACTCAAAACCTGATTTCATCTAATATTTTTGTCCCCCGCTTGAAAAGTGGGGGATATTAATTTGGGTTTGTCCGTCCGTCCGTCCGTCTGTCCGTCCGTCCGTCTTTCTGTCTGTCTGTAACGCTTTCGTTTCCACACGATATCTCGAGAACCCTTTGAGCTTTTGCAATGAAATTTAGCATAGCAACTCCCTATGCACTAAAGAAGACCCCTATTGATTTTGAGGTCAAAAGGTCAAAGGTCAAGGTCATAAATAAGCAAATTCTGTCTGTTAAAACACTTTCGTTTCCACACGATATCTCTAGAACCATTTGAGCTATTGCAATGAAATTTTACATAACAACTCCCTGTGGCCTAATGAAGACCCCTATTGATTTTGAGGTCAAAAGGTCAAAGTTCAAGGTCGTAAATTTATACATTCTGTCTGTGTGTAACACTATCATTTCCGGGCGATATTTCAAGAAGATTTTGAGCTTATGCAATGTAATTTTATACCAAAACTCCCTAGGACGTCTCTCGCCCCTCTCAAAGTGCCCCGCCCCGTTTGTTTTATTAGTATTTATAGTATTACTTGTCGCTATTTTCAGCGCAGGGGCATGAGGAGAGTTATTGCGTATAAAACAGGTTCTCAGCGGACTTTATGTTCTTATTACATCTATTAGAACTGTTTAATAAAGGCTAAATAAATCAATCACCATGGATTGTGTAAAATTTTGAGAATGCCGAACATGAAAACATGAATATATACATGTATGTGACTTCAGTTCTGCATATACTTCACTCCTTGTAAAGCGACACCGTGGTGTAGTGGTTATGTCTCTCGCTTGAAATGTGAGAGGTCCCGGGATCAATACTCGGTCGATCCTTTCTTTTTTTTTTTTTTTTTTAAATACCTTTTTGTTTTTTTTTTTAATAAATGATAGTATTCAGCATGTGAAATGAAAAATTTATGAGGTTATAAAATCATCATTACAGTGTGATAAATATTCCATATAAAAAAAATCTTCTATACACATAATAAAGAATAAGCAATCAAATCTTTATATGCATATTGACATACATGTATTTTATTTGCTTCAGTATACATGTATATATTTAATAATTCTACAAATTCAGTCAGGGGGAGCCGACTTTTTCCCTAAGCGGGGGACACGAATTCTCTGAATTAGCTTGTTATATTCCGTAATAGCATGTAAACGTTGGTTTAAATAACAACGAGAAGTTCAGTGTTCATTTTCACCAATGTATTATTATATTCTAATTCTATATAGGAAAAATCTTTAGAAATCTTTTTTTAATGCTTTATTTACGTGCATTGAATATAATCACATGTAAATACATTTTCAAGCGGGGGATATTAATTTGGGTTTGTCCGTCCGTCCGTCCGTCCGTCTTTCTGTCTGTCTGTAACGCTTTCGTTTCCACACGATATCTCGAGAACCCTTAGAGCTTTTGCAATGAAATTTAGCATAGCAACTCCCTATGGACTAAAGAAGACCCCTATTGATTTTGAGGTCAAAAGGTCAAAGGTCAAGGTCATAAATAAGCAAATTCTGTCTGTTAAAACACTTTCGTTTCCACACGATATCTCTAGAACCATTTGAGCTATTGCAATGAAATTTTACATAACAACTCCCTGTGGCCTAAAGAAGACCCCTATTGATTTTGAGGTCAAAAGGTCAAAGTTCAAGGTCGTAAATTTATACATTCTGTCTCTGTGTAACACTATCATTTCCGGGCGATATTTCAAGAAGATTTTGAGCTGATGCAATGTAATTTTATACCAAAACTCCCTAGGACGTCTCTCGCCCCCTCTCAAAGTGCCCCGCCCCGTTTGTTTTATTAGTATTTATAGTATTACATGTCGCTATTTTTAGCGCAGGGGCATGAGGAGAGTTATTGCGTATAAAACAGGTTCTCGGCGGACTTTATGTTCTTATTACATCTATTAGAACTGTTTAATAAAGGCTAAATAAATCAAACACCATGGATTGTGTAAAATTTTGAGAATACCGAACATGAAAACATGAATATATACATGTATGTGACTTCAGTTCTGCATATATATACTTCACTCTGTGTAAAGCGACTTCGTGGTCTAGTGGTTATGTCTCTCGCCTCAAATTTTTTTTTTTTTTTAAAATACTTTTTTTTCACTAAATGATAGTATTCAGCATGTGAATTGAAAAATTTATGAGGTTATAAAATCATCATTACAGTGTGATAAATATTCCATA